AAGATGCATTATGTAAAGGTACAATTCCCAATGAGAAATGTAATTGTGTTATATACCTACAATGTACCAATAAAAGAATTTAATTAAAAAATATAAATAAACTGGTAGGCAGCAAGGCACTTTTCATTTCCTGTTACAAATATTTTAGGTTTTTTTCACTAGTCAAATTCAAAAACCAGAGGAGGATGTAAGAAACAGGGAAGATGTAAGAAACAGGGAGGTATCACTCTTTATATACAAAAATAGTCTACAAAGATTAAAGAGTCATGGATGGAAAAAATTAACATGCAGAAACCATACAAGAAAGTATGAACATTTTAATAATCTTGACATGGGAAAACCTTCCAACTAACTCTACTGTAATAAAACAACCTAGAAATCATAAGAAAATTTTGATAAAATATTTCAAAAACATATAAAGATGAAAAGTTGAAACACAAATGCAAACAAAATTGAAAAGTATTAAAACATACTGGAGAAAAAAATGCCTGAAACATATATGACAATTTATAAGCCCAATAAAAAAATCAGTTCTTACAGATTAAAAAAAGATAAATACTAAAAGAGAATAAATGGCCAAAAAGGGAACTCTAAAAAAGTACAAATGGCCACTAAAATAAGGAAAGATATCTGTTATAGGTTGGCTCTTGAGTGTACCCAAAGGCTCATATGTTGTAGGCTTTGTTCCCAGCCCATGGCGCTACTGGGAGGTGGCAGAAACCTCTAGTACAGTGGTAGCAGACCTATGGCACATGTGCTATTTGTCTTTATTTTAAGATGAAAGATGTTGTATGAGTTGTTTGTTCTAAACTAGAACCTCAGTATTCAGGTTTAATTGCAGTGTTGGCACTTTGCGATAAATAAGTGGGTTTTGGGTTGTAGCTTGGGTATTTTGGCTCACCATTATTGCTCTCTTAGGGCCTAGTAAGAAGAACTTAGGTGACTTGGAGCATGGCCCTGAAAGGGACAATGGGATCTCCACCCCTTCCTATCTCTGTGTTTCGCTGCCACCATGAGGTAAAGAGGCCTCCTCCACCACACACTCCCACCATGATGTTCTGCCTCACCAAAAGCCCCAAAACAAGAGTCAGCTGACCATAGACTGAAACCTCTTAAACTGCGGACCAAAATAAATTCTTCGTCCTTAAAAGATTATCTCAGTATTTTGTCAGTAACAGAAAGCCAACTAACGTTGAAATCCACAAACAGAAATATTCTAATAAAAATTTTCAAACTGGCAAATTGAAAAGAAAAAAGTGACACAACATAGCATATGTAAGAGGAAAAGGCATTGCTATGGACATTTTCATACACTTTCAGGAGGGAAGTTGGAAAGCACTTATCAAAAACTTAAAATTTTAAATGTTTATTGACAATATTTATATTTATTTATGGTGTGCAGTGTTGTAATTCAATACATGAATACAATGTATAATGATTAGATCAGAAAGATTTGTATTTCTGTATCCTCAAATATTATCATTTCTATGGGTTAGAGTTGACAGATTCTTTTCCTCTGGTAATTGATTATTCTGTAAAATATTAGAACTACTTTACTTCCCTAATTGTACTTTAGGATCCACTACCATCTTCTTTCTATCCCCTTTCCTCCTATTCTTCTTATCCTTTAGTTTATTCTACTCTCCATTTGTATATGATCAACTTTTTTAGCTGCCACAAACAGTGAACACAGGCAGTATTTGTTTTTTTTATGCCCGGCTTATTCTTTCTAATGTAATATCTTCCAGTTCTATTTATGTTGCTTCAAGTGATAGGATTTCATCTTTTTTCCCCCAGTATTGGGGATAGAAATCAGGACCTTGTGCTTGCCAGGCAGGCACGGCACTGCTGAGCTACATCTCCAGCCCAAGGATTTCATCTTTTAAATGGCTGAATAATATTTCACTATATATATGTATCACATTATTTTTATCCATTTGTCAATGGACATCTCAGTCGATTCCACAACTTGGCTACTGTGAACAATGGTACAATAGTTTGGTATCTCTTTTCCTTTGGCTATAGACCTAGTAGCCAAATTGCTGGACCATGTGGAATACTCTTTGACCAAACAATATCACTGTTAGCAATTATCCTAAAGAAATAAGCAGGGGACTATGTACTGTTTATAAAATAAAAAATTTTGATTCAAATGTCTATCAATAGGGAATTGTTTGAACAAAATTATGATACATCCATACAACAGCATATCCTTACTCATTATATATAATGATGTTTATCTACATTCCCTTGATATATTACTCCAGATGCAAAACTACATGTGATATGATTCCTTCTCAAAGATGTAAAGATAAATATCTATAAATCCATATGCCATATACGCGGAGCAAGACATGTGGAAGGATGTGTCTTACTATGTCAATGGTTTACATTCTGTGGGATTTCTGGAAAATTTCTCTCTTTTCCCTTCTTTCTGCATCATTTGGATTTTCCACACTATTCATGTATTGCCTTCATAAATAAAAACAAATCCCCAACCTGGATTTTCTGCCTGCAAGACTCAGGCTTCCACTGAATGGTATAACCTTAAACTAGTAGCTGGAATTTTGAGCTTTATCTTGTCCTAGCTTTTTATGCGATCACATATAACTTGTGACATTTCTATTGTTATTATTCTCCATTGCAAAGTACACATTATTTCAACACAAGAATGATTTTTAAAACCCATTCAAAATATTATAATGTTAAAATAAATCAATATTTATATTAGCTACTCATAATATGCTATGTATACATCTATAGATCTAACAGTGTATAAAGTGTTCATGACAAAAGTTGTTTTTTTCTCTCCCAATAACCTTCTATGACAGGTGAGCTGCTTTTACTATATCTATTTTGTAAGTGAATTTTAGAGAATTCCAATGAAATGAAAGTGAAATAAAAACACTTTTAAACAGTTTAGTACTTAAAATTTCACTAATTCTTGCTTAAAGAAGTATTAAATGACATATTTTAATATGATGAGGAATTAACTCAGGGAAGGAATGGAATACAAAATCAAAAGTAAGCAAGAAAATTATTAAAAGACACTAAAAATTAGCAATGACAGGTACTGAGAATAAAAGAAAAGAGCAAGAATGAAAATAATTTTTCCAAATGGTTAAAAGAAAGGGAAATTAAAATATCAGGTAAAGGGATGGGGATTT